GTTATTAGAAAAGAAAACAAAGAAGCTGTATCCTAAGTTGTAACTCTGTTTAATATTATTTGTAGCTTTTATTGACAAAATTTTTGTACCTTTATCAAATATTTATAAAAAAACATATACAAGGTCATCAGTATTATTAAATAGACATAAAAAAATGACAAATGTCAAAAAATAAATGTCAAAATTTTTTGACAGATAGAATTTTTTAAACATTTTTTCAGTACTCTGGGGACTACCCAATTACTCCCTTTCAAGGAAATGCGTGATTTTTTGAACAACCTGTATGTATTACCAAATAAATTCTTTTTAATTCTAATGGAATCGAGATATTTATAAGTTTAATGAAGTAGAAGAAAAATTTCAAGTAAAATAAGATACCAGGAACATAAAAATGTTTAAAAAATTTTATCTGTCAAAAAAATTTGACATTTGTTTTTTGACATCTGACTATTTTTTATGTCTATTTAATAATACTGATGATTTTGTATATGTTTTTTTACAATTATCTAGTAAAGGTACAAAAGTTTTGCCAATAAAAGCCACAAATAGCATTGAACAGAGTTACAATTTAGGACACAGCTTTTTTGTTTCTTCTTCTAATGGCCTGTAGCATAAAAACTTGGAAAATTATTTTCCCTACAGAAATAAATAGAGTCAAAGTGCAAAATTTAAACTCTCATAAYTTTGAAACTTTTATAGATAGATTTTTTTTTTAATTTTTTCTATGTTTGTGGTACCTTACCCTACATGGCATTTGTCTTTGAAGCGGGAGTTCTGACGCACTCTGTATGTGCATACCATGTAGAACGTGAGTCCTTCAACTTTTAGAATCGCGATATCTCAGGAATGGTGATTGTTAGAAAAAAAGTGTAAGGACCATTTTGTAGATAATTTCAAGATCTATATTTTTTGTCTGGGCTACTTTTTTGATAAAACTTACCGTTTTCGAAAAAAATCTAAAAAACGTCAAATTTCGACCTTTGACCCCGAATAACTTTTTTAGCGCACATGGGATCGATGGGGACTTTTGACACTTTATTCCTAATGGTGTACTCAATATCTCCACCAAAATTTAGTTCTGTCGGAATTTTAGTTATTTAAAATGTTTATTTTGACCGGACATACATCACTTTTTTTACACAACACAAAAACGCTCTTTGGTTCAATTTCAAAGTGATCGAATTTTTTATATTAGTCGAGATTTTGAAACTAATTTTTTCTTTTAGATTCTAAATTTTACTTTAAGAATTTTGTGTCTTTTTATGGCAATTAGAACCACTAATTTAATGGATTTTTTATTAAAACAACAAAATAAAAAATTCAACATATTTTGTTATTTCCAGAATCTCGGCTTGCAAAGAGTTCAAGACAAACGCCACCCTCCACCACAACTTCATAATGGTAAAATGCACCGACTCGAAAACAAAGAAGCAAATCTACGAGAACACCCACGCGCCCATAACCCAATCAAATCAAATCAAGGAGAAAATCTCCACAATGAATACCAACACAACGACTCCTTTCAGTGTTTTCTTCGTCGGAATCGACAGCATATCGCGATTAAACTTCCTCCGAATCCTCCCCCAAACGTACCAGTTCTTGGAGGACAACCAATGGACCCCCCTGCGTGGGTACAACAAAATGGGGGACAACACCTTCCCCAACGTGATGGCCATCCTGACCGGCTTCAACGAAACCCAGGCTTATGCCGTCTGTGACCCCAAAACCGTGGGCAAAATGGACAAATGTCCCATGTTATGGTACGATTACCGGAAATTGAACTACGTGACGGGGTACGCGGAGGACGAGGCCTGGATCAACACTTTCAACTACAAAAAAAAGGGTTTCACGAAACCCCCCACTGATTTCTACTTCCGGCCCTACATCCTTGGTTCAGAAAAGTTGAAAACGGTAAAAAAAGGCGGGATGGACTATTGCACAGGTCCTGAGCCGGCAGGAGAACGCATTTTGAACCTTGCAAAAGACTTCGCTACCAGTTTCAAGGACGTTGCAACGTTTTCCTTCTTCTGGATGAACACCTTCAGTCACAATGACCTCAATGCGCCCTCCATGATGGACACCAAAATCCGGGATTTCCTCCAGGAGATCACCACAAGTGGGGTTTTGAACAACACCATCATGGTATTCCTGAGTGACCATGGGATGAGATTCGGGGAAATCCGGTACACGACCACTGGATGGTTGGAGGAACGCCTCCCGTTTATCTACATATGGGTCCCGGAGCGGTTCAAACGCCAATTTCCGTCAGAATTCCGGAATTTGGAGACGAAACGTGACCATTTGACCACACCATATGACCTCTATATGACCTTGCAACATATCCTGGTACTCTCAGGGTTCAATTATACCCAAAAAGCGAGTGAGGCGTGTCCGAAATGTACCTCGTTGTTTGCACCAACCGAATCGGAGAGGTCGTGCGAGGATGCTGCTATTGAGCAACATTGGTGCACATGCGCCGGTTATAACCCGGTGCCAAAATCCAACCGAACCGTTCAAAAAGCTGCCAAATTCGTCATAGGCCAAATCCATGGGATAATCAGCACCAAGAAGAGTGATTCGAAATGTGCCAAATTTTCGGTGGGAAGGATTATTTCGGCGAGTGTTTCAGACCGGTTTAGTTACAAAAGTGATGTTTATTTCTTGTTGGTGGTGGAGACGACGCCCAAGGCGGTGTTTGAAGCCACTGTGGGGTACAAAGGGGCTGATGGGTTTGAGTTGACAGGGGGGATAAGTCGTTTGGATAAGTATAGTGATCATAGTGGGTGTGTGGAAGATGCCTCGTTGAAGAAGTATTGTTATTGCCGGGGTTAAGTGCCTTTTTTTTTTTTTCGTTGCCAAAGTTTGCTCAGCCGGTTGGTTCAATGGGAGAAATCAAAATATTGTGATATTAATGCATTTGGTACAATAAGGATTTTCTAGTCAAGCGTTATTGTAATCGATGTAGTTATTTTAGGAAGAATATTTTATATCAGTGGCGTTTAGTCTCATGTCAACAATAAATATTCACTTTATTTAATCTGGGTTTTAGTTATTTGCCCGACAAAACAAAGAAAAATGTCGTGAATAAATACTCTTGGGTGTTTTTACTTTTACCATGACATTATTGACGTTGTTGTTGTTATTTTTTATCTCTTTTGCTACTTTAACAATTTCTGGAGAGGTTCATTGTAGGTTTTACTCTCAATAACATAATATACTATTAATTTTCTCTCCTATAAATAAAATATCACAAAAGGTAAATTAATTAATTTATACATAAAAGCAACTTTTGTAATTTTTGAAACCAACAAATCGGCCCCACAAATATTTTATACATTTTGCAAATATTCAAAAGCCACAGATGAGTGAAAAACGCCATTTGGTTCGTTAGAATACTCAATTGTGACATTTTTTTCAAAATTATTGCTCAGTTAAAAACAAGATGTGATTTTATAATAAAAAAAACATTACAAGTGACGAGATAATATACTAAATTACTGAATACAAAAAAGAAAATTTTTCTTTTGGCAATTGGCTAGTTTTCGTGACACATAAATAATTGCTTTTTAAATTAAATAAAAAAGAAATGATAAATATTTTCAGTCCCGAAATGAGTGTTGTAATTTTTTTCATAATTTTTTCATTTTGTTACTTAAAAACTTTAAAAAAAAATTATTTGAACATAAGTTTATAAATTACTTATGTAATTATTTACAAAATGTGATTAATTCAATTTTTTCTTTGATTTATTTAAATTTTCTTATTTTCTCTTTGTTT